GCTGAAAGTTTCGGTTCAGGTAGTTGTTTTAGGCTAGAAGGACCTGGGCCATTTCCCTGGCTCTCATGACACTATGTGTGCCTCAAGCCAAGGACCCTAGATGGCTGAACTGGGTGTTCCCTGTCACCGCCTTTAGGGTTGAAGTCATTGGTGGCTCCAGGGCTGGAATAGGGAAGGGGGGCTACCTTACTTAGAGCTATCTAGGCTGCTTCTCATCTTGCAGCTGAGCAATCTAAGTCCCGAGTGATTTAATCTCTTACAACATGGTCGGTACAGGGGACAAGTCTGAGCCAGCTTCTTGTCTTACAGATCTAGGCAACCAGCCTGGATGCTCAGATGAGGGGTGCTGAGCCACTGTTTTTCCTGGCTGGCTGGAGGTCATTTCTACTTTTAAAAAACTGGGAGCATATAATGATGTGCAAGAAGCTATGCACGCAAACTGTAAGGGAGCACAGATGACTAATGTAATAAAATTGAACATAACAAGATTATTCTAATACATAGTTAACCATACAAGCAGTTTGTGTGTGAGTGTGTGTGTGTGTGTGTGTGTGTGTGTGTGTGTGTAACTAATACACGAGTTCTCATAAGTGACAAGTGCAATACTTTAACCCTCACCCTTAGTCCCCTTCACAGGGTCCCCCACGCCCTGCTCTCTGGGCTTGGTAGGGTCTGTCCTGGGCTGGGGGATGTCCACAGCTTAGCCCCACCCTTGGGCCATCAGTGCAACAGGACTTCCTCCAACCTGAATTCAGAGTCTGAAATGCGCCCTACTGTTCCTGAGCCCAGGGCCCCTCACCCCCGAGTTAGTGGTGACATTGTATTATGACCTGTCATGTAGCAGTCGTACGGAGGAAGCCTGTGCTCACTATTGCCAGTACCTTGTTTGGTCCCTAACCTCCTTGCCCCCCCACCCCCACCCCTTTAGGCCTGAGACCCTGTGGCCAGCGGAGGACAGGTTCCCTTCCACAGGGATGTCTGAATGTGGCCTTGGGTCCTGATGCACCCCCATGCCTGGACTGTCCACCACCTGTTTTCAGTGACATTAGATCTGCCAGCAGCTGAGGGGGCAATCCATTCTCAGCCTGTGCATTGACCCCTGGGCCTCATCCGGCCCTCATGGTTGGCACCTGATGTGGCTGTGTCAATCCGTCCTTCCCAGAGACTTAGATGCCACCTGCCTCGTGCCTGAGCCCCCACTGTTGTCAAAGAATAGAAATGGTAGTTATGACAACAATGGTAGCTACCACTGTACATACATATTTATCTGTATCTTCTTAAATTGGAAAAAAGTAAAAGGTGCATAATTGTTCCCCAAAATACTAATGTCTCTGAGTTAGTGAACTATGGGTAATTAGTCTCTTGTTAAAAACTTTCCTATACTTTTCCATGCTTTCTCTGAGAATTTCTTTCTTTCATAATGGAAAAAAACAAACATCACAGAAATGTTTTGGGACAGACGGGGCAGTTCTCTTTCCCACCCTTTTGTCCTGATGAAGTCTGGTTAGAGACCAATAAATAGCACCTGGAAGGAAATAGAGACCCACAGGGCATAATAAAATGGAGCACATGAGGTGGCTGGGATGATGGGGAACATTATCAGTCAGGGGCTAGTCAGGAAACCAGGACTGGTGACAGGTCCTCCCATAGCAGGGAATAGTCTGGGTTACTAAGTGCAAAACAGCCCCGAAGGCTGCGCCTTAGGCCCCCGGGGAAGGATGTCCGGATCCATCGCTCTGCAGCAGCTGTGCGCAGCCCCCAGCCCAGGGAATGGCGTGTCCCACCTGACTGCCAACTATTACTGGCTTAAACCCACAGAGCTCGTTTTTCCTTTCCTCCTTGGAGCCTCCTCAGGTTCCTCACACAAACCTGACTAACTGAATCTACTTCCTGTTTTCATAGAAATGCAAAGATGTGGGATTGATTTGCTTGAGGTTTTTTTCCCCTTTCCTCTTTCCCTTCCTACTTTTTCCTTTTCCCCCTGCTTCTTTCCTTCTAGAGGGGAAGGAAGGAAAGCAGGAGAAACAAGGGACAGGGGGAGAAGGCACAAACCCTTTCTCTTAGGTAACCGGCCATCTTATCTTGATGGCCAGAATCCCCTTGTCTTATAGAAAGAGAGTCACTGTGTGTAAGCCAAAGCAGAGTCTACCTTGGGTTTGCCGGCAGAAGGGGCCTTCCCGTGAGGGAGCCAGGAGGGGACCCATGTGGTGATAAGGCAGCCTATGTGGCTCAGGTCTCTGCAGCCAGAAGATGAAAGGAGCAGAGCCAGTGATGCTGTGCTGGGGGGTGGCGCCAGGCACAGGTGGTTTCTTGCTTTTGAACTTCACAGCTGGACCTCTGCCCTGAGGGGCTCCTGGAGCCCACAGGCTCATCAGGGGGAACTTGGGCTGGGAGGATGCGCAGAGCATGCTGATGAAAGAAGCGGGCCCTGCTGGAGTAGGAAAGCCAGCCAATAATGACCATGATGCCTTGCTCCTGAGTGGTACCACCTGGCTAAAAAACGTTCTCCCATTGGGTTGCCTGCCTAGAAGCCAATTTAGAAAATCTTGTTTGAATGATAACGACCGTGCATTCCGCCTGTATCTTTGATGTAACATTATGGTCTTCTAAGAAACTTGGGGACCTCCTATACTATGCACTAACCCACATCACACACCAGCTGGCTCTTGGGTTTCTCAGGACCCACGTCCCAGGTTGTGAGGTGCTGTCGAAGGCACATAGTTGTGTGAAAGCACCATAGTTTCTGAGAAAATGGGAAAGGGGCTAGAGGATTGGAACCCGGCAAACTTATCCAGATCTTTTTAAAGGGAACCAGACAGATTTTAATGTCTACATTTTGGTGAATATGATGTCAATCCACAACAAACATGCTACAAAAAGTTAACTTAGTTGATTTTTAAGTACTTAGGGGGGGAAAAGCAGTTCTCACTAGCTGCCATGGATAGTTTGTTAAAAATGAGCTTTCAGGGAATTTTCTGTGCAAAGATATTAAAGCTGGATTACAGTATCTTCCTCTCCCAATACAGGAACCACAACCAAGGAGTTTATCAGAAGGAAAATTACGGGCCCATTTCACTCAGAAATATAGATGTAAAAACACTAAACAAAATATTAGCAAATAAAATACCAACATGGCATTAAAAATAACATACTATATTTAAGTTGAGTTTATCCTGTTTGGAATAGTTAAATAATAGAAAACAGCAAATATATCTTACTGTATTAACAGATTAAAAAAGAAAACCATTTAATCATCTCAATAGATGAAACAGATTCATCTTTGATAAATTTAAACACTATGCTACAAACTGTTTCTAAATTAGGAATAAAGATAATTTTTTGATAACAAGTATCTAACAAAAATTGAACAAATAAAATTCTAATGGGGAAATATAAGAAGCGTTTCCTTTAAAATCAGGAATGAGATCAAAATACCCACTATCACAAGTTCTAGTGTACTGGAGGATGTGAGCAGCTCAGTAAGAAAAGGAGAATAAATTATAGGCATTAAGATGGGAAAGGAGGTAATAAAACTCACTATTTGCGGGTGACATGATTGCTACATAGGAAACCCAGAAGAATTAATATGCAATGATTGACGTGCATTGTACTAGTTATAAAAATTGCTGGATATAAGATTCATGTACAAAAGTCAGTATAGCATTTCTGTTAACCAGAAGCAAACAACTAGAAATATAATTACTATTGAAGAAAATACAGAATATCAAGTGTCTAGTAAGAGTGTCAGAGAATATATCAAGAATCTACCAAAATATGTGCAAAACACTTATGGGGAACATTATAAAATTATGTTAGAGATAATAAAGACTCAAATAAAAAGTTATACCACACTCTTGGATACGAATGTTTAAAATCACGAAAATGCCAAATTTCCCCAAATTGATCTACAGAGTCAATGCAATCCCTATAAAAATCCTAGCAATGTTTCCATAGAACTTGATAAAGTCATTAAAAAATTTATATGGAAGAAGTAAAAAGCCAAGAATAGCAGGATACTCCCTAAGAGGAAGAGCAGGAAGGTGGGGAATGCCTCACCCCTATCAGGACTTTATATGAACCTGTAATAATTAAGACAGGTTGGCATTGGTGTAGGGATAAGTAAATTGACCAATGGAACAGAACACAGAGCCTTTCCAAAGACCTATGCATATGACTTCGTCAGCTCCGGCTGCCTTAACTAAGTACCATAGGCTGGGTGGCTTAAACAACAGACATTTATTTCTCACAGTCGTGGAGACTGGGAAGTTTAAGATCAAGGTGCAGAGTTGGTTCCTGGCTTGCAGGCTTCCACCTACTTGCTGTGTCCGCACAGCAGAGAGTAGGTAAGCTTTGGTCTCCCTGGTTGTGTAAGCTTGTGTTCTTTTCACACCATGCTGCCTCGCACAACCATTTGTCATATTCTACTGACTCTACCTCCTGAACACCTCTCAGGGCTGCACTCCTAGCTTCTCCTCATTGCCTCCTCCTTTTCAGGGCCTTATCATTTTTTTTTGCCTGGGCTATCGCATGATCTCTCACCAGGTTTCCTGGCCTCTAGTTTCTACCTTTACAATCTGTTCTCTGCATTGCCTTTAGAGTTTCTTTTTTAAAACATGGATCTGGCTTATGACTTGCTGCATTTATGGAGAGGGGGAGCAGTTTTCCAAAGGGGACAGGAAAACATGCCATGTGGTCAAACACTCCAGTTCACATTAGGAGGAAAGAGTCTTGTGTGTATGGGAGAAGTATCCATAAGTGTATTTAGGTAGCTGTTACTGGGGCCACAATTTCAGAAGTACATGAATAAAAAAATAACTCTACCATTTATTGATCATGTATTTTGTACCTGGTGTTTCACCTCTTCTGTTATACAGATGAGCACATTAAAGCTCAGAGAGATTAGGAAGTTGCCTGGGTTACACAGCTAGTGAAGGGTGAAGTTAGAATTCCCCACTCCCATCCTACCCCTGATCTTTCTGGCTCCAAAGCCTTTCACTCACCAGTAAGTGCACATAGATGAGCGTGTTCATGGCACATGAGGACACATTGGAGGAAATGGGCCTGCTGGATCTGGAAAAGAGAGACAGTCAGAGATCTTCAAATAGTGAGCTCCTGGGTATTGGGGGACCCATGAAAAGTTGGGTGAATGACCTATGATGTCATAATCCTTTCTTTTTTTTTTATTTAAAGATTTTTATTGAGGAATTGGGGGGGAGGGGAACAGCGTTGGGTAATCGGGGAAGGAGAACAGACAGGTAGACAAATTGCTGTTTTTGTTCTTCAGTCTAGTTGTAGAGGACGTCGCTTCACTGGCCCATGTTGGTATGATCATTGTGCTCTTCCTGGGTGAGGCAATCAGTTGCCGGTCATTGGTCGGCTGCTCACAGCAGCTCCGGGCAGCTCACACCAGCTGCCGGCCACTCATGTAGCTCCCGGCAGCCCACTGCAGTCCCGCTGCAGCCTATGCCATTGCCAGCGACTCACAGCAGCCCAGCTCCAGGTCGAGCTGGTGTTCTTCATCTTAGCTGTAGAGGGCGAGCATCACTGGCCCTCAATGTGGGATCCAAACCGCACCCCTGCTGCTCAGAGCTGGTGCTCCCAAGCGAGCTCTTAACCAGCTGAGCCACTCGGCTGGCCCTGCACAGAGAACTCTTGAAACGCCGGCTTTTCTCTTCCACCAATCAAACTCTGCCAGATTGGAATTCTTCTGTGCTTTCTCTTGCCTCTTTCCTATCCCTTACCCTACCTGTATGGCTAAGTTTCAAAACCGTCCTATCAAACCCTTCTGATTAGAAATTTATGAATATGTATAATCTCCTCTTATCGTCATCCCTCCAAACTTGTCTCAGGCCTTTGTTCGAGGGGACAGATCTGAGCTTTGTTTCCTGTCTCTTTGCACAGCCATTCTGGCAATAAAGCCCTTTCTCTGCAAAATACCATTGCCTTGAATTTGGTCTTTCTGTTTAGCAGTGGGCAGTGAGCCCACTTGTTCAGCTTGGTTACACTGGGAGCGAGGGGTCCCTGTTTTGCTGTGGAGTCTGTGGTCTTAGAGTCTTAGGGTGGCCCTTTTGCACTCCCACATCAGCTGTGAAATGTGGGTTCAGGTCAGATATTTGGCCCTTTCCTGAACCTTCAGTGGCTCTGTGAGAAATGAGCATCGGTGGCTGTTACAATTTTCCTATGCAAATATTCATCACAGTTTTACTTCAAAGAGCAATACATTTGGAAAAAAAAAGTTTGATTCCTCTATTTTTTAGTAAAAATGATTATATGTTGCTTGGAGCTGGGAGTAGGAATGGGGAGAGACTGCAAATGAGCACAAGGGGTCTTTTTGGGGGTAATGGACATGTTCTAAAATTGGATTGGGGTGATAGTTGCACAACTCTGTAAATGTAACTAAAAAACCATTGAATGCTACGTAAATTATACCTTAATAAAGCAGTTAAAAGGATTATACATTCAGGAAACACCTACATCAAAGAACAGTTGTTGCCTTGCAGATATTTGTGGAAGGCGTTTTGGTCAGGCAACCATGAACAAGCTGTGCTTCCTGTGTTTTGCAGAGCTGGCCGATCGGCCCAGAGAGGAGACAGGCATGAATACAAATTGCTCTACCACACGTGGTGCAATGGTACCAAAGAGGGAAAACGCAGCATCAGCATGAGGGACTTTGGGAGGTTTGGATGGGATCCAAATAAGGGTGAGACTCCAAGGCAGGATCTGTGAGAGGCTAGAGGCAGAAAGGGACACTGTGCAGGCCACACACAGTCCCACTGAGATTTAGGAAAGGCCGGGAGGGTTGGGGTGGGGGGGCAGGAGACAGAGATATGGGTAATATAGTCCCTCTTCCTAGCCATCTAGTGACTCAGCTAGTCCAGGACAGGCGCAGAGTGGCTGTGGGGAGGGGTGGCTGCCTGCTACCATAGTCATTTGGCCATGTGATCATGTGCAATGCTGGCTAAGTTGGTTCACCAGTCAATCTCTACCCTGGAACAGTGAGCTCCTGCAAGGCGGGGGGTGTAGCTGCTCAATTCATGCTTCTGGAGTGAGTGCATGAAAAGGAAGCCGGGGGGCCGGCTGAGTGGCTCAGTTGGTTAAAAGTGAGAGTTCTGAGCAACAGGGTCACCCGTATGATTCCCACATGGGTCAGTGAGCTGCGCCTGAGCTGAGCTGCCGCTGAGCTGCCAACAGGTGGCGGGATGGCTCAGCTGGTGAGAGCATGTGCTCCTAACAACAAAGCTGCCTGTTTGACTCCTGCATGGGATGGTGGGCTACACCCACCTGCAACTAGGATTGAACACGGCACCTTGAGCTGAGCAGCTCCAAGCTGCCGATGTGCGGCCAGATGGCGAGTGGACTTGGAGCTGAGCTAGCTGCGCCCTCCACAACTAAGATTGAAGGACAACAACTTGGCTGTTCCCCTTCCCCAATTCTCCAACACTGTTCCCCTTCCCCGATTCCCCAATAAAAATCTTAAAAAAAAGAAAAAAAAGAAAAGGAGGCCAGGGCAGCATCCATTCTAGAACATTTCAAACTAATTCTCCCTGTTCACCACGATGCTGTTATAACCCCCCACTGATCCTGTTGTTTTCTTCACTTCTAAGTCATTACCACAAACATGTACCCAAACCTCTTTTTTTCCCCTCAAAGACAAAGCATCTTTCCTCAGGCCACTGGGGACGATGTGTGACTTGCATCCTCACAGCTTTGGAGAACAATTTGACGTATCCAACATTCCTGTCTGGATGGCGATTTATAGGGTAATACAATAAAAAGTAATTTATAAGTGGCAAGGAATTTGAACTGAAGCATAATTCCATTTTGTGCAGAAAGCCAAGCTGTTCTGCATAATTTGTCATCCAGCCAGGGCTCTCTGACTTGCTTTAGCCAAAGGCTCCTACCTCCTCCTCATCAGTGACTGGCTCCTTCTAATTTAATCCTAAGTGGCAGGGTTCCCAGTATCCCAGTAAATATGTTTGCTATCTCTCAGCTGAAACAGCTGATCCATGCTCTTTGCAAATGGCTGACCCGGGATGAAAAATTTTGACTCTATTATCCCAGAAACTTGCTCCTCTCCCAAATTCTATCAGTGGTTTTCAGTTATGCACTGACAGCTGCATATAAATCCGCTCTAAAATGCAGTGGCTTAAAATCACAGTTTATGATTTCTCATGGTTCTGTGGGTTGGCTGGGCTCAGCCGGGAAGTTCTGCTTCCACGTGTATGGTTTAGTTCCCTCATAGGGTTGCATTCAGCTGGCAGCCCACCTGTGGTTGGAATATCTAAAATGGCCTCTTATCCTCCAGAGCCTCTCTCCACATGGCCTCGCATCATTCAGTAGCCTAACTAGTTTTCTTCAGCATGGCAGCTGGCTTCCCAGACAGAACTTTCTAAGAGAGCAAGCCCCAATTTGCAAGTGCTTATCAGGGCTCATGCGTGCTAATATCCCATGGGCCAAAGCTGTCACATGGCCAATCCCCAAGTTAGTGAAAAAGGGGAATACACCATAAGCTTCCTTTCAACTCTGAGTCTATTTAAAGCTCTCCTTGGCAGGCCAAGAACAACATTTTTCTCCCCAATAGCAAGTTCACATGTCAGGCCACTTGCGAGGGGGGTCAGAGGGAGGGCATAGTCTTCCAGATGGAAATTATCTCAGTGGCTGAATGTTTAGGTACTCAGTCTCTATGGACTGGGAACACTCTTAATGCTCTCATTAATTGACAGCCGAGTTGGGGATGAGAGGGTGGAACTTCCTGACAAACAGGAAGGCCTGACTGGGCCCTGGGCAGAAGTGTCTAAACAACCTTTTAAGAAACACTTTGGCTCCACACAGCCCCTCAGGGGCTCCTGCGGAAGGGGAGGCTGAGGTCAGGGAGTGGGCAGGCAGGGCTCTGCCGGGGAGAGACTACTCATCTCCCTCTGCTCAATCAGAGAAGCTCCACTTTTGTGTCCTTGCAGACTGAGTTTTCTTGTTCCATTTTGGTTTGAAGAAAGGGCTCTAGGGCTAAAAAAAAAATAAAAGCTTAAAAATCGCCCAGAGAAATTCTATCCATAAAAAACATTCAGTCTGGGCCTGTCTAGTGGCGCGTTGGTTAAGAGCTGGCTTAGGACACCAGAGGACCCTGGTTCGGATCCCACATATGAGGGCCAGTGACACTGCCCTCTACAGCTAAGATGCTGAACAACAGCTCAACCTGGAGCTGGGCTGCCATGAGTCGCCAGCGAATGCATAGGCTGCAGCCCCTGCTGCAGTGGGTTGCCATGGGCTACCGTGTGTAGCCAGCAGCCAGCGTGAGCAGCCAGCAGCCGCCGTGAGCAGCCAGCAGCCGCCGTGAGCGGCCGTCCAGAAGCCGGCGACTGATCTGCCTCGCCTGGGAAGAGCGCAATGATGGTGCCAACTTGGGCCAGTGAAGCAACGTCCTCCACAACTAGGCTGAAGAACAAAAAAAGGACAGCAATTTGTCTGTTCCCCGTCCCCCAATTCCCCAGTGCTGTTCCCATCCCTCAATAAAAATCTTTAAAAAATAAACAAACAAAAAACCATTCAGTCAGCAGCACAAGGGTCCAGCTGCCTATGAGGACGTAGGGGAAGGAGGTGTGAGTGGTGGGGGGGAGTGTCACACATGACATCAGGGAGGTGAAGCAGGCCCCACAGGCATTGTCACTGAGGGAGAGGGGAGCAGAAGTGAGCAGGGGCAGGCAGCTGCCCACCCCAGGGTGGTGGCACAGAGTCCAGAGTCAGCTCCAGCACCAAGGCACAAGTCTGTGCCCATTCACCAGAGGGTACAGTCTTGGGGTATCTGGCCTACTTACCCAGGGGTGGTCCCAGGTCTACTTAGTGGTGGCATGAGGCCTGCAGATGACAGAGTCAGGGTCAGGGATGCTAGGATGACCACTCCCTGGGAACACCGAGGGAGAGGGAGGGCCCAGGTTCTAGACCAGATCCGAGTGGAAAATCTGGGCTTTCCCTATAGCTCCCCGCAGCCCCCTCTCTGGGCGAGCCTGGGAGCCTGAGCACTTCTGCTACAGAGCACTTGGCTTTTTCTCAGGGTGAGGCCTCTTGGCAGTGTG